CCAGTATATGTTGTGTTCCTGTTATGTTTAAGAGATGGTGCAGACTCTAGGCATACAAAGATGAGAGAGAGAGAGAGAGAGAGAGAGAGAGAGAGAGAGAGAGAGAGAGACCCTTTGCTCTCAAGTGGCTCTTTTTATAGAAGGAATAGATATTAATATGTGTAATTACAACTTATGTGATTGGTGTTATAATATGGGAGTTAGAAGATAATATGGAAACTTGAGTGAATTCCCTAGTTTTGTTCTTTTACAAAATTGTATAGACTGTTCCAAGTTGTTTGCATTTCCGTATATGTTTTAAAATTACCTTACCTAATTTCTATCTCAAAAAAACTCTACTGAATCTTTGATTGAAATTGTGTTGAATCTGGAGATTAATTAGGGGAGAATTGAAATCTTAACTGACTCTTCCAATCCATGAATACAGTATATCTTATATATGTAGATCATCTTTCATTTCTCTCAGAAACATTTTATGATTTTCAGTGTACAGATACTATGCATCCTTTTGAAATTCCATGTTTATTCATACCGTTATTAATGATATTATTTTCATAACTTCAGCATTTAATTGTTGTTAGTCTATGGAAATAAAACTGATTCTTAACCTTGTTCTTGTGACCTCACTAAACTATTAGTTTTGTAGTATTTTTGTAGATTCCTGGGTTTTTCAATGTATATGATCATGTGGTCTCTCTCTCTCTTTTAAGATTTTATTTATTTATTTATTTATTTATTTTTAGAGAGCTGGGGGAGGAGCAGATGGTGGGAGGAAAGAATCTCAAGCAGGCTCTGTGACAAGCCCAGAGCCCAACACAGGGCTTGATCCCATGATCCTGAGATCATGACCTAAGCTGAAACCAAGAGTTGGTTGCCTAAATGAATGAGCCACCCAGGCACCTTGATCATATGGTCTCTTAAAGATGGTTTTATTTTTTCTTTCCAGTCTATAAACCTTTAATTTCTTTTATTTGTCTTATTACACTGACTGGCAACTCCAGTATATAATGAGAGTTTGATAGCATTGCTTTGTTCTCAACCATAAGAGGAAATTAATTAATTTCTTTCTTCATTAATAAGTATATTATTTGTAAGTTTTTCATAGATGTCCTCAATTAGGCTGAGGAAGTTCCATCCTATTCCTAGTATGTGGAGAGTTTTTTTATCACAAATGAATGTTGGAATTTTTTTTCAAATGTTTATGTTACATGGATTGAGATGATCATTTATATTTTATTGTCTGTTGATGTGACACATATATTATTTAATATTCATTCCTTTCTATTCTTTCATTCCTAGTTTAAAAATCCCTTAATTGTGAAGTATTATTTTTGTTTATATGCTGCTAGTTTGAATTTACTGGTATTTTGTTAAGGATTTATGTGTCTGTGTTTACTGGGATATGGAACCATAGTTTTCTTTTCTTGTAATGACTTTGGTTTTGGCATCAGGGTAGTGTGGCCTTATAGAATGAAGAGTGTTGGGAATTGTTTCCTCTTCTATTTCTGGAAGAGTTTGTGTAGAATTGGTATTATTTCTTTCTTAAATGTTAGGTAGAATTCAACAGTGAAGCCATGTAGAGTTTTCTTAATGGGAAGATTTTTAGCTATATGTTTAGCTTTTTAATCATGTAGGAATAGTCCAGTTATTTATTTTTTATTGAGTCAACTTTGGTAGTTAGTGTCCTTTAAGGAACTTTATTCATTTCATCTAAATTATCAAATTTATTTATATAAATTCATTCATGAAGTTCCTTTATTATCCTTTTAATGTTGTTAAGCTTTATGATCATGTCCTCTCATTAATTCAAGATGTTGACATTTGATACTGTCTCCAATTTTTGCTTTTTTCATCAGTCCAGTTAGAGATTTATTAATTTTATTGATCTCAAGAAACTAGTTTTTGGTTCCTGTGTTGTTTTTTTGTTTTCTATTTTACTCATTTGTACTCTCATTTTTATTATCTCTGTCCTTCTACTTGCTTTAGGTTTAATTTTCTTTCTCTAGTTAAAAAAATTATCTATCTATCTATCTATCTATCTATCTATCTATCTATTTATTTATTTGAGAGAGAGAAAGAGCAGGCACATGTGGGAGAAGTGGCAGAGGAAGAGGGAGAGAGAATCGTAAGCAGGCTCCATGCCCAGTGTGAAGCAGGACACAATTCCATGACCCTGAGATCATGACCTGAGCCAAAATCAAGAGTCAGACACTTAACTGACTGAGCCACCCAGGAGCCCCTCTTTTTTTCTAGTTTTTTTAAAGTTGAATCTTAGGTCATTGATTTTTTTTTTAATTTTTATTTATTTATGATAGTCACAGAGAGAGAGAGAGGCAGAGACACAGGCAGAGGGAGAAGCAGGCTCCATGCACCGGGAGCCCGATGTGGGATTCGATCCCGGGTCTCCAGGATCGCGCCCTGGGCCAAAGGCAGGCGCCAAACCGCTGCGCCACCCAGGGATCCCTAGGTCATTGATTTGAAGTCTTTTTTTTTTTTTTTCTCCTAACTTATACAGTTAATGCTATATTTTACTTCTGTATTGTATTTTAGCCGGATCTCATAAATTTTGATACATATCTTCATATTTGTTGCGTTCAAAACTTTTTCTGCTATCCCTTGTGATTTTTTTTTTTCGAGTCATGAATTATTTAGAATTGTATTTCTTGATTTCTAAATGTTTTGGAAAGATATATTTTCAGATACATTTATTGTACTGCTGCTTATTTAATTTTATTTTTGATAGTGTATATACTTTGTATGATTTTGGTCATTTTTAGTGTGTTTATATTTGGTTCATGGCCCAGAGTATGTTCGTTGTGCACCTGAAAAGAATGCGTGTTCACTTTTTGTTGGGTAAAGTGTCATATAAATGTCAATTAGCTTAACTTGTTTGGCATGTTTTTGAGGTTTTCTGTATCCTTACTGATTTGGGGGGCGGGCGGGGAGGGGCCTACTTGTTCTTTCAGTCACTGAGAGGGGAGTGTTGAATTATACAAATATAAATAAAGATTTGCTTTATTTCCTTTTATTTCTATTAAGTTTGCTTTCATATTTTGAAGCTCTGTTATTAGTGGCATATGCATTTTGGATTGTTATGTCTTCTTGATCAGTTGATTCTTTTTCATTTTGAAAGTTTCCTCTTTATCTCTAGTTTTATTTCTTGTTCTGAAGTCCACTTTGTCAGACATTTATATGGTCATTTACTCCTGCTTTCTTTTGATTATGTTCACCTGGCACATTTCTCCCCTCTTTTCATTGTTAATCGATCTAAGTCTTTATATTTAAACATTTGTGTGTATTTTTAAAAGAAGATTTTATTTATTTTAGACAGAGAGAGAAAGTGTGCACATGCATGAGCTGGGGAGAGTGGTAGAGGAGGAGGGAGAGGGACAAGCAGACTCTGCACTGAGTACAGAGTCCATCATGGGGCTGGATCCCAGGACTCTGAGATCATGTGACCTGAGTGAAAACCAAGAGTCAGTGCTTAACCATCTGAGCCATCCAGGCACCCCATTTTTGTGTCTTTTTAAGAGAAAGAATCTGCCGGGTATTGCTTTTACCTAATCCAGTCTGACAATCTTTGCCTTTTAATTAGAGTTTTTAGATTATATCAAATTAATGTAATTATTTATGAGATTGGATTTAAACCTACTATGTTGCTGTTTGTTTTATATTTATCCTATAGTTTTTCTTTATTATCCCTTCCTGTTTTTGTTTCATTTCCATTTTATCTCCATGATTACATATTTATTATAAAAATATGTTAGCAATTGCTTTAGGGTTTGTAATATATATCTTTAATGTGTCAAAGTCTCTCTTTTAATAATATTATACCATTTCCAGTATAGTATAAAACTATGCTTCTGTGTCTTCCTCCCAACCTTTGTGCTATTGTTGACATATATTTTACTTGAACATATGCTATAAACCTTCCAATACATTGTTTTGCTTCAGCCATGTATCTTTTAAAGAGATTTAGGCATTTTAAAAAAACATTTAAAAAATGTTTTAAAAAATTTATCTTCATTTTTACCATTTGTGGCACTCTTCATTTCTTTGTTGTAGATTCAGATTTCCATTTGTATCATATTTGTTCTTGAAGAACTTCCTTTAATATTTCTTGTAGTACATGTCTGAAGGAAATGAATTATCTCTGCTTCTATTCATCTGAAAAAGTCTTTATTTGCCATATATATTTTTAAAATATATTTTTGCTGCCTATAGAATACTAGATTGGCTTTTTTTTTTTTCCTTTTAGAACTTTAGAGATATTGTTCCATAGTGCTTTGGCTTGAATAGTTTCTGCCAAGAACTCACTAAAATCATCTTTGGTTTTCTATTTTATGCCCCTCCCCTTCTCTTCTCTGGTTATAAGGGTCTTGTTCTAGCTTTTCTTAGTGGCAGTGCTCCTTTGCCTGGGACTGTGAGCAGGAGGGTACTCCGTACCTCCCCCAGTCCTAGACTCCTGTTTCTTGTTACTTGTTGAAAATTCAGGGGCAGACAGTTTTGTTTCTGCTTCTCCCCCAGAGTCATGAGATCTTTGCCTGGACCCTGGAGTAGGACATCATTCATTTTTAGTGACTTATTTTTTCAGTGTTTTTTTCTGGAGTGTATTGTATAACAGTGCATTAACACATGTAAGTAATTTAGAAATTAATGTGTGTATATAGCTGGTGTATATTCAGCAGTTTTACTGATCGGACAGTATAGTCAGAATTGTTTGAAGGCCACTGTTGTATAGGATCAGAACTTATAACTCTGATAGACTTGAAGTAGAATTTGCTACTTGCTGTTTGATTTGAAGACAACATGATTCAGATGGTTCCCTTCACTGCAGTGAGTAACCTCATTTATAAATGGAGAATGTTTTAGAGTGCACATTTTATTTTAAAATAATTATTAGATTTACATGCTTAAGAGGTGAAGTGCTTTTTATGAGCTCTTCTGAATTTTAAACTCCTTTCTTTTTTTGTAAATGAAAATCTCTTCATTGTTTTTAGGACTGTGAGGACATGGGAAGTTGAAAATCCAAGGAAGCAAAGAAGTGTGTTTAAACCACGGACGATGCAGGGTAAAAAAGTAATTCCCACCACGTGCACATATAGTAGAGATGGAAACCTCATAGCAGCTGCCTGCCAGAATGGAAGCATACAGATCTGGGACCGAAATATGACTGTAAGTCTAAGACATTTAAGTCTGCTTTTCTTAGAAGAAAAACACCTTATAAAGACAAACATCATGTTAAAATATTACGAAGGTCAGTTTCCTGAGTTTAGCCCTAATTTAAACTTCAGTGTTAGTTGATAAAACATTGGGACATTTGCAGTAAACAGCATTTTAGCAAACATTCCAGCTCAGTATTTTCCAATGTGTATTAGATTTAGTTTTTAAAATACAGTAGATCTTTTAGTATAAAATTTAAAAAGCATAGTGCAGTTCTATTATTTGGTGTGTCAGTGTACTTGATTTTGAAAGCGATCGATTTGATAGTAGCATAAAACAAGACTAAGCAGAAAATATCCTTTAAAAGATTTAAGAAAACCATGAAATATCAGCAATGGTTCATCAGTCGTTTTGCAATTATTTTTGTAGTAATTTAATTAATACTTTGTTTTAACATTCTGTGACATTCCATTTGAATAGGTGTCAGATTTTCTTTTGCAGTTTAGATCATTATTAGAATAAATAAATTTTGGAATTGGAAGGGATCACAGAAATAATTCTATGAAATAATGAATATGAAAGGTTTTGGTTAATTCTTAGAATTACCAATAAGCTTTAAAAAGGGTTTTGTTCTATGTAGAGATGGTAAAACAAGATTTTTTGGTAAGTGGAATGATTCTGTATTACCAATGTTAAAGTGAAAATCTACACTAATGTTAGAATGCTGTTTAGTTATTTTTGTTTTGTTTTGTTTATTTATTTATTTATATTGGTTATCGTTATTTTAATAAAAGATTCTGAAAAAAATTATTTTAGTAATTTGTTAGAATTTATTAAGTATCTCTACTATATGGCAGGCACTATTGTAGGCACTGGGAATATTGCAGATTATAAAAAATTCTTGCCTTTTAGAGTTTATATTCTAGTTCTTTTTAGAAATTATGAAAAGAATATTCTTTTTAAATAAAATTGCCCATCAGCCATTTACATTTCAAAAGGGACCCTAGGAGACATAGTTGTCTGTTTAGGTAGATGAGTTAAAATCATTTGTCTAGGAATAAGGTAAAAAGTAATAATAGGGAAATAAAGAATCCATGTTGATAATGCTGGAAATATCTTTGGCATTTTCTGTTTGTCAGATCTTTTTATTTCTGTTTTCATCTCCATTGTAAACCCCATAAAGCTTCATAACAGCACAGAGATTTTTAAAATCCTTTTAATTGTAAACGGAGTTTTAACCAAGCAATAAATTTTTTAGTAACTGGCTTTCATCGTCTCTGGTGCTGTTGAATTAAACATAAAAATTCTAAGTCATGAAGTTTTCTAGTGTAGCTTTAATAGCAGTGTGTTTAGTATAATGCATATATGTGGGCCTTTCCCATATATTCTTATAAAGTTGAGTATAATTTTTAAAGATTGACTTTGTATGTCTCCTAAAACAATGAGTATCTTCTATTTCCATTTTTGTAAAAAACAAAGCTGTTTTAATGTCAATTTACCACCCCACCCCCCCAAATCTTTTAAGCTGTTTTGCCTAATTGTATAGTCTTTGGTTCTGTTTCGTTAGAATTTAATAGTGCATGAAGTTACAGCTTATTATACCACATCCTGTTTGTTAAATTCATATTTTGACATTTGCGTGTAAATATATGTCACCTAAAGACAAATCAAATTGAGAAGAAAAAACTTGCTGGCAGGAAATACAGTTTAAGAAGAGAATTTTACAAAATATCTTAATTATTACTTCAGCAATAATAAATTATTAACAGGGAAACACTGAAGCTGAGGTAAAAAAGCCTCATAACAGTAGTTTGTCCATGCAGTAGACAGAGAGTTACATGGTAAATAGTGATGAATACATGTCTGTGTTTTGTGACAAGTAAAACTATCATAATTGCTCTGCCTAATTATAGAATTCTCGTTAGACCAACTTTAACTTTAGCAAATTAAATGAAATATTTCTTTTTTAGAAGTAAGGGGTCTATTAGTGATAAATTCCTGTGTTCTTAGCACCTACCTCTACTCTAGAATTATGTTGGCCAGTATGATAGCCACTAGCCACATTTGACTGTTTCAATTTAAAGTAATTAAAATTTACAATAGAAATTTCAGTTTCATAGTCACATGATACTGTTCAAGTACCAAATAGCCACATGGGTGTAGTTATGTGCTATTTATTGAACAGCACAGATAAGAACATTCCTGTCATTGCAGAGTTCTGTTGGCCAGTGCTGCTGTAGAGGAGTGTTTGCTTCCCCAGTATCCCTTTCAGTCATGTGATGATGGCCTGTCAATTTCAGAAGGAGGGCTTTTCAGAGAAGCTTCTACAGGTCTGCATGGCCTCCTTGGGCCCTCGGTTCCCATTCATCAGCGTATATGTGAGCAGTGGCAAGAAAGTGTGTGGTTGGAGCAAGGTGAGGGAGGTGTAGAATAGTGAGAGGTGATATTGGAGAGGTAACAGCATACACCTTGACTCAGGTTTGATGTATGCAGAAGCCTTTGCAGCCTGCCTGTGTCTCCTGCATGTTCACATAGCTTTTCCCCCTCACCTCTTTTGTTTTAATTATTTTTTATTATTTTAAGATTTTATTTATTCATGAGAGACACACAGAGGCAGAGACACAGGCAGAGAGAGAAAGAAGCAGGCTCTCCGAGGGGAACCTGATGTGAGACTCAATCCCCGGACTCTGAGCTGAAGGCAGACGCTCAGCTGCTGAGCCACCCAGGTGTCCCTCCCCCTCACCTCTTTTAGTTCTTTGCTCACATTTTCTCTTCTCAGCAAGACATCTTGACTCCACCCTACATAAAATTGCCGCCTTCTCCCCACCAGTGGTACTCTCTATCCCTCTTTTCTTCCCTCATGCTTATCACCATTTAACATACTCTACCATATATTTTACATACTTGTTTATTGCTGTTTACCTCTGGTAGGATATTAGTTCTACAAAGGAAAGGATTATTATCTCTTTTCCTTCCTGCTGTATTCCCAGAGCAAAGAAAAATGCCTATTATACAGCAGATCTTCAGTAACCATTTGTTGAATGAATAAGTGGATGAATGTATTCTGGAAAGGTAGCAAAATAAGGTTGTTGACTTATTTGTAGGAAGACATTTAAAAATAGCAACATAAAAACTATTATATTTATATGAAAATACAGTGAGAGAGGTAGAGAAGGGATGGGAAGAAATTGAGGTTATTTTTAGTATATCCTTGATGTAAAATTATGCAATCTGTATTAACATAGGTGGATTTTTAAAAACTGGTTTCATGGCTCTCAAGTCTAACTCCTGACTTTTAAAATATTCCAGCGTTGTATGGTCTGACAAATATCTAGTGACTTCTGTTCATATAAAAACATAGCAAATTCTTTGGACATATTTTTTTTTCAAAGCACTGTTGCTGTTTTTTAAATATCTATTAAGAATCTACATTATGCTAGAACCTTTACTAAAAGAGCATGCTGTATTTACTTGTATTGCAATCACTGTAAACTAAGATTTGGGTAAGAAAATGGAGACAATCTTATCTATCTATTTATTTATTTATGCATGCCTTCTGTAGACACAGGTGATGGGAAGTAATAATATTTTAAATTGGGGATCCCTGGGTGGCTCAGTGGTTTAGCACCTGCCTTTGGCCCAGGGCATGATTCTGGAGTCCCAGGATCGAGTCCAACATTGGGCTCCCTGTGTGGAGCCTGCTTCTCTCTCTCTCTCTCTCTCTGTATGTGTGTCTCTCATGAATAAATAAATAAAATTAAAAAATATATTTTAAGTTGTTTTATTTGGCAGTGGGTATGGTCAGCAACAGCTTGACTACCCTCTACCTGACTGCCTCTTACTTCTCCTTTTGCTGCATCCCCTGCACAGATTCTGGGGCTGTGCATTTTGGGAAGTGATCACATGCTACAACCCCTTACCAGGAAAACCTCAAGCCTAAGAGATACTGCAGAGACATTTCTCCAGCTCAGTGGCTGATCAATCCCCCTACTATCAGCCATCCTAGAGAATAGTTGGTATGGATCAGAGAAGGACTTGGGCAAGAACTAGTAATGACATTGGGAGATAGGTTCCTGGACAAATGAAGCCCCCCGGTGCATAAGAGAACAGTGAGAGAGAATATGGGAAATAAAGTCACCAGTAGTAGCTTAGATCCAGTGTACTACAGATATGTAAATGTCTCTAGTCACTGTCAGATTACCCATGTTAAGCTTAGGTTGATTTATGTCCTCTTTTCACCTTTCCTTTTATTTGTGTGTAGAAACATGGATTAAAAGTTTTTTTTTTAAAAAAGATATATTTATTTGACAGAGAGAAAGAGAGAGAGAGAGGGAGAGAGCAAGCACACAAGCAAGGGGAGTGGCAGAGGGAGAGGGAGAGGGAGAAGCAGACTCCCTACTAGGCAGGGAGCCCAATGCAGGACTTGATCCCAGAACCCTGAGCTGAAGTCAGACGCTTAACTGACTGAGCCATTCAGGCACCGACAAAGGTTTATTTTTATATAGAAAGAGAATTTGCAATTTGCTTTTTTTTACTTGAATCGGTAGAGCTCTAATTTATTTAAATGGGATCATAATTTTACACACATGGAAAGATAAAGTTTTCAAAAAGTCTATTATTTGTTTATTAGTAACTTCTTTGCCCTCATTATTCTATCTCTACCCCATAAGGCTTGCAAATTACCTGGTATGTGTTCTTTTGTACTTTTATTCATATCTCTGTATCTATAGCTAGCTGTCTACATTAAGAACATTTCACTAGTATGTTGAAACACCTACCACCTCACTGAGAATGAGACAAAAGAAATTTAAACCCATTAAGTGGTTGTAAAAAAGAATAATCTGTAGGATAATTTATAACCTTGTATAGCTACTTTGTATAGTGTCCAGAATATGGAAGAGTTAGGGAAGGCTAAGAGGGTCAGGATAGGTACTTATAGTCAGGACCTCTGAGGGGTGAGGAATTTAGATAACCAATGAGATAGTGTTGTTATTTTACTAACCAACCTAACA